TTGGCAAGCAGATTCTTGACCCCTAGCACCACCTGGTTATCGCGTGCGCGCGCGCACACACACACACACACACACACCCAACTCACACAATCAGCTATGTAGTACTGTCCTGTTATAGGTTTATAATACTTTTCACACAAATAATATATGAAAAACCACAGCAGAAAAACACATGAATGTTGCAGTACTTTGGGAAGTTGGGAAGTACAGTGGTACAGTACATCAGCTGGCAAGCGGGCATGTCTGCAGCTTTGAAGTTTCGTGGAGGCGGGGGGATTCACTGTGTTATAGAGGGATGTGTTTAACTCGGGAACAGCAGATGGAAGAGGCGATGCCCAGCAGAGTATGGGGAAGGGGGAGGAGTTCCCGCCCCTCTGGGGAGCCACTCTCCACCTCCACGTGTTCCCCAGCCCAGAACCTCTCAGACCCCATCCTTTTGGATTTTATGGAGGATTCATTCCATAGCATGATGGATTGACTAACCCATTAGCCATGGAAGTCCATCACCAGCCTCTCCCCATCTCTCCTGTGAAAAAGAACCAGTTCCACACTTGCCCAGAAAACAGTGGCCTCTCAGTGGGACCCCAGCCCCCCTTCCCTTCCCCACAGGCTCTGCGGGCATCTCCCCCTCCCTCAAGGCTCCAAGCCCAGCCCTCCACATCCTTCAGGTTTCCCCCAGCTCACTTTTATGCATGTCTCTGCATTTCAGTCCAAATGTCGTTTCCCGGGGAAGTCTCTGCTGAACCTTTACTCTCTATCTAAATTATGACTCCTGCTGTCTCCTGAGGCTCATACCAACAGCATTAGCCATGATTTGTGACTCTCTATCTCCCGCTGCTGCCGGATCATAAATACCGTCCATGGCCGTCTGTCTCCAGACTGTCTTCCCAGCCCTTGGTGCAGCCTGCTGCATCATGGCCCCATGGATACTTCAGGAGGGAGGAAGTTCCTGCAGAGATGTTCTTTGTCCATTGCTTCAAAGATGATGTTTTGTGACCCTCGGTAAATGGAGAATGGGCTTCCGAGGTGGTGCTAGCGGTAAAGAACCCGCCTGCCAATGTAGGAGACCTGAGAGATGAGAGTTCGATCCCTGGGTTGGGAAGATCCCTTGGAGGAGGGCATGACAACCCACTCCAGCATTCTTGCCTGGAGAACCCCAAGGACAGAGGAGTCTGGCGGGCTATGGTCCATAGGATTGCAAAGAGTCAGACACGACGGAAGTGACTTAGCACACAGCACAGTCAGAGGCAGGGGTGGGGAGGGGAGGAGGAAGAGGGTTAGACAGAAGTGAGTCCTGGTACCTTGATGCTAATGTCTGGGGACATCTGGCATATTTCTGAGTTTTGACAATTTGTGAGTCATTTATTCTTTGCCTTGTTCATGGCACACTTTCCCACCCCGCTATATATGTCCCCTTTGTAATCTGGTGCAGTCCTGTCTGAATTTTGTGAAAGGGCTTTCAAGAATAGTTGTTCCCAGCCTTGACTTCTTAGTGGAATCACCTGGAAATTTGTTAAAAAAAAAAAAAAGAAAAAAGAAAAATTACTGATTAAGTTCTACCCTTACAGGTTCGAATTAGGAACACAACGGGTATTTCTCATGTACAGCCAAGTTTGAGAATTACTGTTGCGCAAATCTGAGTTCCTTTTTTGTTTTTAAGTTTTACTTTACGGATCAACGATGTGCCTAAATAGGTTCTGCGCTGTGTTAAGTCACATCAGTCGTGTCTGACTCTTTGCGACCCCGTGGGCTGTAGCCCGCCAGGCTCCTCTGTCCACGGGATTCCCCAGGCAGGAACACTGGAGCGGGTGGCCGTGCCCTCCTCCAGGGCATCTTCTTGACCCAGGAATTGGGCCCCCATCTCTTATGTGTCCTGCACTGGCAGGCAGGTTCTTTACCACTAGTGCCGCAGGGGAACCTGTACCATTTTTCGAGGTGGGGATGGATTGGCAGATTGGGATTGACGTATGTTTGCTGCCGTGTGTAAAACAGACAGCTGGGGGATCCTTCTTATAGTACACGGAGCTCGGCTCAGTGCTCTGTGCTGACCTGAAGGGATGGGGTTGGGGGTGGTGAGAGGGATGGCCAAGAGGGAGGGGGTGTGTGTACACATAACTGATTCCCTTTGCTGTACATCAGCAACCAACACAACATTGTGAAGCAACTATACCCCAATTTTTTTTTTAAAAAAGATGTGCTTAAAGAAGATGCTGGAAAAAAATTGCTGCAGTGAGAAACAATGTGGGCTGAAGCTTGGCCATAGATCAGTATCCATGGCTGGTAAAGGACTGTACAAGTTTTGGGTTTTCTTCTCCTTGAGTCTTCGCCATCCACCTCGAACAGCTTCTTCTCCACAGCTGTGTGGTTACCGTGTTCATTGCGGTATGTTCATCCCTGTGCTGATTGCTGTAACAGGGGCTTGCCTGGAGAATTCCGTGGACTGTATAGTCCATGGGGTCGCCAAGAGTCAGGCACGACTGAGCGACTTTCACAGCCCCATATGGGAAGGTGAGACCCCTGACTTTGTTGCACCCATCACTTTGTTCTGGAGACGTGCCATCCTGAGGGCACCCAGCTGCCAGGCTGGTAAGATAGGGAGCCCAGAGGACCGTGAGGGGGTTTGGCCACCCGACATGGAAGTAGCATACCCTGCTCTGGCTCAGTTCAGCTGCTGTCATGTTCAGTTGGCCACGTTCATTCCTGGGTACTGATCGCTGTCCTTCCTACAAGAGAGGTTGAAATGCCAGCCCCCTCTGTGTGCTGGAAGATACAGAGATGGGTTTGGGGACCATGTAAAACATTATTTCTGTTTCATACATTGTAACTAGAGAAGTTGTCACTTTCAGTTTTAACAAAATTTAGCTGCTAGGGAGATGGTATATGTGTTTCTAAATATCAAGAATTATTTAAATTTTCTTCCTGCAACTTCCTCTTGGTTTCTGCTACTCCTTCCTGCTAAATGCCTCCTGTGAGCCAGCTCCTGGGCTTGGCTGGTACCAGAGATGTAGAGACGAATGTGCAGCCCCACACTCGGGCGGTTCTGGTTGCCGATGACAGAAGAGGTGACCGGATTTGGTGTCACTTTTGTGGGCCTTTATCATCTCAGGCAGCGAGGCAGGGCGGGGTCAGGGCTGTGGGTTCAGCCACTCCCACTGGGCGCTTCTCTGATTATCTTGGCTTTTGCTTTCAGATCTCAGGAAAGGTGTGGCTTCCCAGGTATTTGTCCTCTGCAGTCAGGGGAGCACTCTGCTTTGTCTTGTGTGTGTGCATGCACGCGTGTGTGTGTGTGTGTGTGTGTGTACCCCCCTGGCCCCGCCTACACATGCAAGTCTCCCCAGAAGCCCTCAGCATACTTGACTTTAAGTCCCTTTGGCTGGAATCCTGACCCTTTCCCGTGACCGACCAAACCACCCTATCACCTGCAGAGGGAATGGGGTTACAGTGATCGGCCTCAATAGATGGAGATTCCCCAGGGCCTGCAGTATCCAGCCGGGCATGGATGGTGTCATCACTGAGTCGTTCCCTCTCCTTTATCACATGCGCCTAATCATTCACGGTGTTTTCTGTAGAATTCCTCGTTCATAACCTCCCAGCTCTCAACACTCAATGGGGACTGTTTCTTTAGGACTTGTTGGGACCAAGTGTGTTTATCTCACCCCTTGAGCAGTTGTGAGCCTGTTACCCCATGATGATGTTGGTGTTTGTGTGCTGTTATTGCCATTGCTTTACTTTTCTCCTAAATTGTCTGTCTTTTTACTACTCCTCGGATGCCAGCAGAGCTGCTTGTCAATTCGGATCCCGACACTTAGCCACTGCCCACCTCATGGTATTATCACAAGAATAAAATGCCTAAGTGTGGGTCGAGCACCCTCAGGCTCATTGCCTTGTCTCCTTGATATTTATGAATGATTGCATTTTTATTCATGTTTACCAGAAAGATACCATTAATGTGCTCATTTGTATAATTAATATTTACTTGCTTACCAGAAAGATACCATTAATGTGCTCATTCATATAGTTACTATCTACTAAGTGCTGGCCACCAGCCAGGACAGTTCAGTGAACAAAACCCCTGTTCCGGCCTTTGCAGAGATTGCTATTCTGTGTGCTCAGTTGTGACCGACACTTTGCGACCCCATTGGCTGTATCCCACCAGGCTCCTCTGTCCATGGGAATTCCCCAGGCAAGAATGCTGGAGTGGGTTGCCATGCCCTCCTCCAGGGGATCTTCCCGACCCAGGGATTGAACCCACGTCTCTTATGTCTCCTGCATTGGCAGGCAGGTTCTTTACAACTGCTGCTGCTGCTGCTGCTAAGTCACTTCAGTCATGTCCACTAGTGCCACCTGAAAAGCCCCAAATGAAGCTGTTTCCTTCTGTAGGAGATCTTCCTGACCCAGGTTTCAAACCCACATCTCCTGCATTGCAAGTGCATTCTTTACCAACTGAGCTACCAGGGAAATGAAAGGTGCCATCCATCTTCTTACCTGAGCTTAGTCAAAGAGGAGGCTTCTGTTTAGTGGGGGGCACTGGCAACACCTAGGCTGTATGGCTGGCAGGAGGAAGGACCCGCTGCAGCTGCCGCTAAGTCGCTTCAATCGTGTCCGACTGTGCGACCCCATAGACGGCAGCCCACCAGGCTCCCCCATCCCTGGGATTCTCCAGGCAAGAACACTGGAGTGGGTTGCCATTTCCTTCTCCAGTGCATGGAAGTGAAAAGTGAAAGGGAAGTCGCTCAGTAGTGTCTGACTCTTAGCGACCCCATGGACTGCAGCCACCAGGCTCCTCCGTCCATGGGATTTTCCAGGCAAGAGTCCTGGAGTGGGGTGCCATGGCTTTCTCCGAGGGAGGGGCCCTCTCTTCCCTGTAACTCAGCACTTGGGTCTCTTTCCCACAGTTCAAGAGTTGTTCTGTGGACACATTGGGGTGACTCCGGCCAAGCTGGTTTTTATTTATTTTTTTTTTTCACTAGTAGTATAAACGTCTCCATTTTATCTTCCAGTGGGGAAAGCGGCGCTGGGAAAACCGAGAGCACGAAGCTGATCCTCAAGTTTTTATCAGCCGTCAGTCAGCAGTCCGTGGACTTGTCCTCGAAGGAGAAGACCTCGTCTGTCGAACAAGCCATTCTTGAGAGCAGGTATTTATTTCTCCATCGTGTTTCTTGTTCCAGCGAACAGGATTCACTCTCTTCACTGTGCGACTTATTTAAGGAAGTAGTTGAAACTCAGGATTCTGTCTGCTCTTTCTCTTGATGTGGCTTTCATGATTGCTCAAGGAGAAGTCTCCACACACAGGTGGAGACTTCTGGTGACCTGACCCTCCATTGCTGGGCCAGGTTTGAGCAAAGGAGTGAGGAACATTCTGCAGCTGCCTCCTACTGGGCAGCTCTTGACTGGCTGTTTGGAGGCCTTGTTATCAGCAGAAATTTCAGTCTCCATCCAGCACGTCGCAGAGAGCTTAGCGGTCAACTCTTGGGAGGCGTCTTGTCGGCAGAATGGTATTGTGTGGCCTCTTACTAGCATCTTCCCTAGTTACTCAGATGGTAAAGAATCTGCTCTTAACGCAGGAGACCTGGATTCAATCCCTGGGTCAGGAAGGTCCTCTGGAGAAGGAATTGGCAACCCACTTTAGTCTTTTTGCCTGGGAAATCCCATGGGCGGAGGAGCCTGGTGGGCTATATAGTCCATAGGGTCGCAAAGAGTCGGGCATGACTGAGCGACTTTTACTTCACTTCTTCAGCCTCTCAGGTGGCAAAACTATTGGGCATCAATGGCAATGTCCTCAGAGCTTGAAAGAGAGCCTTGGTACAGCACTCTCTGAAATTCTAATTAAAATCTGTAATTGCCCCATGTCTGATTGGTGCCTTTAAAGGTCCTAGAACCAATAGAGACTTTAAATGTCCTGTTATTTAAAAATTAGTCCAGGAGTCAGCAGACTCCAGCCTGACACCTGTATCCAGCAGCCTATTGCTTTGTCTTTTTAGACTTCAAAATTTATTTTTTAAATTGTGCTAAAACATGCATAGCAAAATGTATAACTTTAAATATTTTTCGATGTACAGCCTAGTGGCATTAAATACATTCATGTTGTTCTGCAGCCATCACCACCATCTTTTTCTGGACCATTTTCATTTTCCTCCTGCAGCCTGGTTTTATAAATAAAACTTTATAGAAACACAGACACACTCCTTTGCTATCTTGTCTAGAGTTGCTTTTGCCCTCTAGTGGCAGAGCTGAGTAATTGCATCAGAGACCACATGGCCCACAAAGCCGAGAAGTCTTTTTTATCTGATCCTTTACAGCAAAAGATGGCTGACTCCTGACCTAGTCTGACCGCAGACCTAGTCTGACCACATTTTACACTTGGAGGAGACCCAAGGAAGTTAAATGAGCTCCCCTGGGACATACAACAAATGAGTGAAATTTCCAGGACTTTTTCAGTTCCTAGAATTCGTGTGGGTTTGTGTGTGTGTGTGTGTGTGCGCGCACACACACACAACCCTTGACTTGCGTAAATAAACTAGTTTGGGTGAGGACCAGCCCACATGGCCTCCTGGTAGCATCCTTTGCCCCGCGACCAGCTGTGAGTTCTCCCCCTCAAGATGGACACGCATTATAAACCCATTTCAGCAAGCACTGGGAGATCTGGCCCTTCTATAAATAAACATAATTGCTGTAGGGCCCTTTGCTTTCAGATTTCTCTTGCAGTTATCTATTTTGCCATTGGTGAGGACTGCTGATAATTACATGGACCCTGATTGCCTCTCACTGTTGTCCTGGGTTTTGTTTTTTTTTTTTTTTGCAGCCCCATCATGGAAGCCTTCGGCAATGCCAAGACCGTGTACAATAATAACTCCAGTCGCTTCGGGAAGTTTGTTCAGCTGAACATTGGCCAGAAGGGAAACATCCAGGGCGGGAGAATTGTAGATTGTATCCTGTTTCGTTTGACTTTTGTGTATTAGTATTTGACTCTCTAGTAGAAACTGTTCTTTGCTTTTTCTTAAGACAGATACAGAATATGAAACATTCATTTCTGGTTCTACCTCGTTACTGCTCCCGTTTTACTCTGGTTGACCTGTTAATTATCCTAGGAAATAAGGGGCCCTCTTTCTTTTGGGAATCTCTGATTTCATGTCTCCAATCTGAAAATTTGGACTCCTCATCAAATATCATAGGCTTCCCTGGCAGTTCAGATGGTAAAGAATCTGCTTATAGTGCAGGAGACTGGGGTTTGATCCCTGGGTTGGGAAGATCCCCTGGAGAGGGAATGGCTACCCACTCCAGATTCTTTCCTGGAAAATTCCATGAACAGAGGAGCCTGGCAGGGTACAGTGCATGAGGTCCCAAAGAGTCAGACATGACTGAGCAACTAGTTGTTTGAAATAATCGGTTGTTTCAAATAGTTCGATGCCTTCTAGGGCACATGTGTCCTGTTTGAAGTTGGATTTTGATGAAATAGTCTGTTTTGTTTGCTTATCTTTTGGCACCGAAAGTCAGAATGCCCAAGACACAAGGAATTGTGATTATTTGGGCAACAAAGAGTAGAAAAATAAGGACTAATGGAGCATCCTGTATCCTTGTTTTGTTCCTTGACTTGCCATTGCTTTTTACATGAAGATTTATTAGAAAAAGTAAGTAAGCGTGATTTAATTCACATTATCTTTAACATTTTTCAGCAGTTACTGGTTCTTAGTCATTAATCAGAGGATACATCCCTGAATAGAAATCTGATTTCTTCTCTTCACAGAACCGAGTAGTAAGGCAAAACCCCGGGGAAAGGAATTATCACATATTCTATGCGCTGCTGGCAGGGCTAGGACATGAAGAGAGAGGTGAGTGATGGAGCCGCTGCAGAGACATTTCCCTTTAAAACCCATCTGTGAAAGAGAAGACTGGACTTTGTTGATCTTCCACCATTTGAAATGAAGCGTGCGAGATGATCAAAGATGCTGAGTGCATGTAGAGCCAGATGCCGTAGAGAAAAAATCATCAGTAGAGAAAGCTTGAGTTTTTTGGATATGTTTTGGAATCTTAGTTCTTTTCCGATTTAAGGAATATTTGTGAAAAATGCATAATGTATCACAACTAGCTTTGCTTTTAAATCACACCCTAATAAAGCAAATTTCCAAATATTTGACTTTGAAAAACGACAATCAACACGGGATCCTCATCAGTTACTTTTTTCAGTAGTGTTTTCTTCCATCCCATCTAATCTGATAATTCTATTTTCCCTAGATGATGATAAAGAGAGAATGTTTTAATCTTTTTTCTTTTTTCTTTTTTCGATTATGAAAGTATGATAACACATTTACAGGAGACTTGGAAAATATAGAACAAAGTTACATATAGTTCCATTATAGATTACAATTTAAATAATTGTACTACTTAAATAGTAGATAAAGATGATTTTTAGTTGGAGTTTCAATATCAAACTCTCAGAAATTAATAGAATGAATATACAGAAAAGTAGAAGGATATAGTAGACCTAAAAAGCAGCATGAACCAATTCAACATAATTAAGATTTGTACAATTTTCACACAACAGTAGGATACAAATTCTGTTCAAGTTCCCATAGACTATAAACTAGGAGACACTAGAACGCATCCAGGGGCATAAAAGAAGGTACAAAAATTTCACGGTCTAAAGGTATTGAAATCATACAGTCTGAGAACATTTTAATCTTATTAGTGAACTATTAGGAGCATAAAATTATTTTCCATACTTAAAAAAATAAAGTTGCAAAGTGGAAACTCTTTTGAGTTCTGTCTTATCCTGGACAGTCAAGTACTGATGTTATGTTTTTGTTTTTCTTTTTGTAGAAGAATTTTATTTATCTGTGCCAGAAAACTACCACTACTTGAATCAGTCTGGATGTGTGACAGACAGGACAATCAGTGATCAGGAATCCTTTAGGGAAGTAATTGTAAGTTACTTGCCTATCTTCCTTTATAAGGGTGACTCCACCCCCCACCCCACCACCCCCCAAAAAAAGAATGAAAGAAATTGACGACTTTCATTTTCTGTTTCAAAAAAATTTTTAATAAGTAATCACATTTGTACTGCTTTATGAGAATAGGTCCTTTCTTCTTATTCCAAGTCCTGGGAGGGAATCCTCTCTCCTAGAAGATGGGTATGAATGTCTGCATTCAGGAGAGATGGGGATTGGCTTGGAATAGGGTTCAGAAAAACGGAACAAAAGAAAAATCACAGGTTTGGTACTGGAGTAAGCAGATCGTATGTCTCAGAGCTTACAATTAAAAATTGTTTTAAGTAATTGATTCCACAGTTCAAAAGAAATCTGTCGACAGTTAGACCGGGTGACTGTTGGGACTCATCCTGTTCTCATACCTGATTCTGGTAACTGATTCTTACGACGCAAACAGTGGTCATCTTAAGACACTTTGGTGTGGACCCCTGCTGTGTGCTGCAGTTCTCGAATACCCCAAGGACTTTTTATAAGGTGACTGTGTTTAGGAAGTCTAGGTTGAGTGTGGCTGGTAGATTTCATCAGTGTGGTCTGCAGCAGTTGGAGTCTGTAGATATAGAGTTGATTCATAAATGGAGCTAACACTGATGGAGCGCTTACTATGAGGACTTAATCATTCCTCTGCTTCTAACAACCCTGTGAGGGTAGAAATATGGTTGTCTGTATTCTGTGACTCAGAGAGGTTGGTGACCAGCCTAACCACACACAGCACCTAACAGAACCAGTATCTAGACACAGTCTAACTTCAAATCCTAGACTCTAACCAGGAGGCAGATGGGTAGCCCCTGATTTCGGTGCACCTAGGTTTGTCTTTCTAGTTGTCAACAAGTCAGTTCCATATCGTCATTTGCTTTTCTAGACTGTTCATGAGAATACCTTCTGGAATGGATTCAAAGTATATTTTTAAGTGGATATATATCACACGTCGTTTCCCAGTGTCTAATGTATGTGCCTTTAAACTGAAATGAAAATAAAAACAGACTAGGCTTATAGTATCATGATCACCTTCGCCTCAGCCTTCCTTTTAAAGATGTCACATTCTGCCACGTATAATGCAAAGAGATGTCTCTCTTTGTCATCTCTCCTTCCTTCAACCTGTTAACCAAAAAAACCTTTGCTGACAGCACCATTGCTGTGTATCTGCCCTAGGCAGTACAGGATTGGCCCTGCTAATTGAATTTCATGAAATGTTTAAGTCTTTATTTAAAATTTTCTCTCAATTTTATTTTGATGCCCGAGACTTCTTTCACTACACAAGCTTCCTCCATTCACTTTGTACTAGGAAGTGGATGTTTGCAGTGAGAGACTCCTTGTAATCCAAGTCACAGTGTCACTGCAGGCCCACGCTGACCGCTCACTGGCCGCCAGGGTGAGGGGGCAGCGAGGCCCTTCCTGGTCCTGGGAGTGCCCGGGGAAGGTAGTCTGGTGGCTTCCCCTGGGGGCATCATTTTCTGATTCAAAATTGTGTGCTGCTTCTGTTGGCTACAAGGAAACTCATGGAGCTTGGCTTCTGTTTCCGTGATTGCTAGTTTTTATTTTTAAGTTGAAATGATAGGTTTTTGGCATTTGAAATTTGGTCCTGTGATGAAAGGACATGTCATCTAGAAGGGAAGAAAAGTTTAGACACGAAATTGACATAATGAATGTACACAGTAGACTTAGAGGAATTCTATTTATAGATTCTTAAGTATTTGCTTTGCAATTACTTTTTAGTGTTGACCCATCAGAAATGTCAGTGAAGACTTAGCTGGTATTCATTGAAGTCAGGAGCATGTAAGTTTTGCTCTTATTTAGCCTTCTTCTGGAAGATTGAAGCAATGCAGCCAGAAAAAAAAAAAAATAATAATAAATGTGCTACTTTTCAGAAAGGAGGAAAAATATTCTTTTCTATAAAAAAAATAAAATTCTCTGCTCCAAAACCTACAAAAATAATCAGTTGGGGAATGGCTCAAATAATTTATTATGTCTTTAAGATCCATTGTAGCTTGCAAAACCATGTTCATGTATGTTTAACAGTAAGGCAAAACTTGTTTATTCTGTAAGTGAGGAAAGCATAATACAGCATGATATCTTTTATTTGAAAAGTAAGCTTATATATGTCATGAATATATAGTATGTATGCAGAAAATACACTAAAATAATTCAAAAGTGTTATCTCAGAGCAGAATTCTAGGGTTTTATTTTATTCTTTATCATTCTGTTAGTATATTTTACAATGAATATGTCAATTTTAATGATTATATGATTATATACGATTATATTACCAAATCATAGGTCTTCCCTGGTGGTTCAGTCAGTAAAGAATCCACCTGCAATTTGGGAGAGCCAGGTTCAATCCCTGGGTCAGGAAGATCCCCTGGAGAAGGAAATGGCAACCCACTCCAGTATTCTTGCCTGGAGAATTCCATGGACAGAGGAGCCTGGTGGGCTACAGTCCATGGGGTCACACAGAGCTGACACAACTGAGTGACTAACACTTTTATCAAATAATAATTTCTATAATACAGGAGTATAAAGTATTATATCAGTACTAGCCAACCCATCTTTCTGTCTTGCATAGTGCTCTATAACCAAGAGTCATACAGATGGTTAAAGAGACACTGAACACTTCTGGCTATAAAGTTGATTTTCTGTCTTCAACATTTTTAAGCATCTGTTGTGTGCCAGGCAAGCACAAGGAGACTGTAGTGAGCAAACCGTCTATATAATCGCTATATTCTGTTAAAGAGATTAGGATGACTGGAATAGATTATGCTGTTGTTTTATCATGTAACTTGTCTCCTGTTGTTGTTCGGTCGCTAAGTCATGTCCTACTCTTTGTGACCCCATGGACTGCAGCACGCCAGGCTTCCCTGTCCTTCTGTGTCTCCCAGAGTTTGCTCAAATTCATGTCCATTTGGTCAGTGATGCTATCTAACCATATCATCCTGTTGCCCCCTTCTCCTGCCCTCAGTCTTTCCCAGCATCAGTCTTTTCCAATGAGTTGCTCTTTGCATCAGGTGGCCAAAGGATTGGAGTTTCAGCTTCAGCATCAGTCTTTCCAATGAATATTCAGGATTGATTTCCTTTAGGATTGACTGGTTTGACCTCTTTTCTGTCCAAAGGACTCTCAGGAGTCTTCTCCAGCGCCACAATTTGGAAGCATCAGTTCTTTGGCACTCAGCCTTCTTTATGGTCCAACTTTCACATTCATAGATGACTACTGGAAAAACCATAGCTTTGTCTCAATTTCCTTCCAGAATCAAGTACCATTGAAATTTGTATCTTCCTACTTTTAACTCCATAAAGCTCCTTTTCCCAGAGGTTTCGGGATTGAAGAAAGGGAAGGGACCACATTCTGTTGGGACTTAAGAACATTTGTTTACAGAATATGTTAAAATGTTAGCGGAGAGAAATTATTCCTGTGAATTACATATGAAAATGTCACCTCTGGTATTTTTAGTTACTAAAAAAAAATCATTATTCTTTTTATCAGCTTTAATGTCAACATATTCTGGCAATAGGACCTTTTAGGACTTTTGCTTATTTTATTGAGAATTTATGTGGTTTTAGAATTCCTCATAGACATCACCTGACATTACTATAAATGTGTACCTGTAAAGGACCCTGAGCCATTCTTAGGGGACCCAGTTTTTCCTGGGGAGAGATAGTGAACACAGACTAAATTTCATAGCCCTTTTTTTTTTCTTTGCAGTCTTCCAGGTTGCACTATAAATTGCTGAGTCAGAATGAAAAGCTATTTCAAGAAAATAGTAACAACTAATTGATTTTTATTGCCTGCATTTGACCTACCAGAATGGTGGCTGATGAAATGTGGGGGAGGATAACAAGAGTCTTTGAGTGATAATCTCTTTATTCTTTTGACTCCACAAATATTGAATGGTAATGGTGTTCCTAGCCATCTACCAGGATGGGGTTTCCTGACCATGTAGGTTTTACTGGGTGTACCCATGTTTTTAACAATGTGAATCCATCTACCCATGTGTTCTCTCCTCATCAGTTTGGTCTTATAAAGATTTAGATGGCTCTCAGCCTTAAAAAAAAAAAGATCGAAATAATGCCATTTGCAGCAACATGGGTGGGCCTGGATATTGTCATACTGAGTGCAGTAAGTCAGACGGAGGAAGACAAATATCATATGACATCACTTATTTGTGGAATCTAAAAAAAGGCTGCAAATGAACTTATCCACGGAACAGAAAACCTTACAACTGTGGAAAATAAATGTATGGTCCCTGAGGGGTTGGGGAGAGGGATGAATGGAAAGATTGGGATTGACACATTCTACACTACTAGGTTTTTATACGTAGTTAAGTGATAAGGACCTACTTTTTAGCACAGGGCACCCTCCTCAGTACTCTGTAATGGTCTATATGGGAGGCAAATCCAAGAAAGAGTAGATACATGTATACGCATAACTGATTCACTGTGCCGTACAGCTGAAATTAAAAGGCAACATTGTAAATCAACTATGCCCCAGTGGAAATTTTAAAATAAAAGACTGACGTTATACCTCTATTTTGCCACATTTGAAAACTTCAGTCTCTTTCAATGTTGGAAAATTTGGGGGTAGAAGCTAATTTTATATTATACAATGCTATAATCTCTCCTAATATACAATTACATAATAAATTTTCAAAATATTGATCCTTCATTCGTGACTTACTGTGCCCAGACACCTCCCCTCCCACCCCATCTTATTCAATCCATTTATTCACGATTCACCTGAGGACCGTTGGCTTCCTTAGGTGGTGCCCCCACCTCACAGCTGAAACCCTGAGTGCATTTACCTTTTGTACCTGAAATTCACTCCTCTTCCCTGCTTGTTTCTCCTGTGAAAAGCCCGGCTTCCTCCTGACCTTAGTGGTTGGGATTGTATTATGTATTTGTCATCACTCCCCTCCCACCCCACACTTTCACAATCACCTGTTTTTTATGTGCTTATTAAAGACTTCATTGAAAACATTTTGTATGACTTTGTGCCAGTTTTATAGCTAAATTACTGTTTCGAGCTTCTGAACTATACTGAGAATTTCCCAGGGTTTTTTTTTTTTTTTAAGTCTTGAGCCATGTCATTGAGAAAAGATAATTATGAGGAGGCTTAACAGCATTGTAAATCGACTGTATTTCAATAAAAATTTTAGAAAAGTCTTAAAGTGGCTGCTCTTGCCAAAGGGGTGGAGCTTGCTACTGAAAAGACTGTAAATAGGACAATAGGAAACAGTGAATGGAGACTTGCTGGCAGGGGTGAGTGGCCACGCCCATGCTGGTTGGTGTTAATTGGTTCCAGCCATTACATTACCCCGTGGCACACGATTGATACTTGTGACCACACTCCTAATTCACTTAGAGTTAAACTTGAGAGTGAAGTCACAAATTGGTTCATACAGAAAGCACATTTTATTCATTTGCTTTCATGCCTCCATATGTAATCTTTGTATTTTCAGAGCTTAACAAAGAATTTTTTTCATGGAGCATCTTTTGATATTTTTTATTTTACAGTTTGCAGTTTTCTGCTACTGTGAACTTATTTTTTGACGTCCTTCCTTTTTTTTTTTCCTGCAAGTATAGAGGAGATCTTTAAAACTTGAAGTATAGTTGATTTATAGTGTGGTAGTTTCTATTGTACAGCCAAGTGATTCAGTTATATATGTGTGCATGTATACAGATTCTTTTTCATATTTTCCATTATGGCTTATTCTACAGTATTGAAGATAGTTCCATGTACTATACAATAGGACCTTGTTTATCCATTCTGTATATAATATTTTGTATCCACTAATCCCAAACTCCCAATCCAGCCCTCTCCTGACTCCCCTCCCCTTTGATAAGTCTGTTCTTTATGGAAGATCTTATTTGTTTAGTGTTATATAAAGTCCAGGCAGATGAGTTACAGTGAAATCTCTTATCTCTATATTCATCCTAAGGTGAGCTTAGAAAATTTTTATAAATTAGTGTTGAAGAGGTCCTGTGATACATGAGGAAAACTTTAATCAAAAAAAAGGAAAATTATTAACTTTAGCACAGCATAGATGCTTTATAATTATTTTGCCAACATCTGAATTGGTTCTTACCACTGTTTTAAAAAGCTTCCCTGCTGGCAGAGATGGTAAAGAATCTGCCTGCAATGCAGGAGACCCAAGTTTGATTCTTAGATCTGGGAGGATCCCCTGGAGAAGGAAATGGCAACCGGCTCCAGTATTCTTGCCTGGAGAATTCCATGGAGAGAGGAGCCTGGTGGGCTACAGTCCATGGGGTTGCAAAGCTTCAGACATGACTGAGCGACTAACACTACTACTGCTACTGTTCTAAAAGTCTTGAGCATAATAGATATTTTGTATTTCTTAGCCATATTTCTTTGCTTTTAGAATAAGTAAATTTGAATACTTACTTTCCCATAGGTTTTTAAAAATTGATGAGCACTTGACCAATAGTTCTTATTCTTGGCATCAATTTTTGTCTGTACCCATAAAATTATAGTCTTCTCTCTTGCTCTGTTAAATAATTCATGGTCTTTTTATTTTTTGAGTCACTTTTATGAAGTTATAATGTACATATAATAAAATGCCCTCATATAAAGCATATAAAGTGAATTTTGAATTTACGCACTCGTGTACCCACAACCACGATCAAACCGAAGGACAGTTCTACACTCTAAAGAGTTCTTGTCCCCCCTCCTAGACAATTCCAGACTCCCTAGCCCTAGGACATGTAGGAAAATGTGTCTTTTCTAGAGTTTCCTAAAAATGAAATCATACAAAATCTCTTCTCCTCTGTCTGGCTTATTTCACTCATCCAAACTGCACATAACAGAATTGTTTCTTCTTACACTGAATAGTATTCCATTGAGTAGACAGCAATTTATTTATCCATTCACCCTATAGACTCAGTTATTACAGTAAAAACATGTCAACAATATTAAAAGATGTGAATATAATGTCCATTAGCCTGCCAGCAGTAACATTGCAACTATTTTCAATTTTGTGGATTTTCTTCCCAGCGTGATTTTTTTAAAAAAAATTTAGTTGCACAAATATAATCTAGTACTTTTTGCATAAAGCTATCATAAATATAATCATGTTTCTATGTAATGTTGATAATTTCCTTTAAAAACTATACACTGTTCTATAACAAGTTTACTACTATAATTGACTTGACTTGTAGGAGAGATGGAACTTTTTTTCCTCTGGAAGTGTTGTTAAGATAATGCTGTAGTGAATATTTTACAAAGCTTTCTTTCCTGTTGAGATTTTCTTTGAAACAAATCTTCAGCGTTAGAACTTCCTAGTGGTACAGTGAATAAGATTCAGCACTCCCAATGCAGCGGGGCATGGGTTTGATCCCTGCTCAGGGAACTAGGATCCTGCATGCCACATTTGGTAGCTAAAAATAAAAAAATTCCAGCACTGAAATTAAGGGTGATTACATAGGCGACTGACTTTCTAAGGACGTAAAAAGAAAAAAAAGCATACAACCGAATGGAGAGTAAGTTCCTAGACTTTGTGTTTGTCAGGCCTGACTTTGAATCTTGGTTTTTGTAACCCTGAGAAACTTGTGTAACTTCTCTGAACATTTTAAGATTATGTACATAGGTGGTCCAGCCCAACACTAATCCATAATCTTGTTTTCCAAAAAGATTATTCTGACTTATACTACCAGTGAGTGACCACTGCATAAATACCACCCTTTCACCCATTTTATCATTCAGAAAAGTTTTTGTTAATTTAATAGAAGTTATCTCATTTTCTTCAGTATTCGCGTGTTGAATTTCTAGGAAGGAAAACGTTTCTCTGTGGATTTGTGTTTCCTGTTAGAAAAGGTGCCTATTTTATTTTACTGCATCATGTGTCTCTTAATATAGCTGTTGGTTCCTTGCCTTATGCAGTTTTTTCTTTTAATTTTGTTTTCCTGTTTATTTTTTTGCCTTTTGTTTCTGGCTTTGTTTGTGTGTTTTTTTTTTCTTGTAAAGAAATTACTTCTCATATTTTAAAATCTCCGTTCGTTTCCTCTTGCAGCTTCTGTGGCTTCACAGCGCTGCGTGGCTTCCTTCTTCCCGTTCCAGTGGTCATTGTAGTGATCGTGGGCCTGGGTTCTCTTTGTAGGCTATTTTCATCAATACTGCCAGCAGTTCCGTCCTCTGTTCTGCACGTGTGTGTGCGTGCGTGCATCCGTGTGTGCATGTGTAGAGTAGGAGTGGGGGAGGGTAGCTGGCTCTTTTCCTGATGAGAACATGGCTCCTAAATCATAAGGGATAATGAGCAAATCTTTGCTCTGATTCAGAAGATGCCTGGCTTCAGTTTAGAAACTTTCTGGGGAACAAAGCCCCTGTTGGTGCTTGTTCTTTTTTATTTTTTTCAAATCAGCATTGTGTTAACTTCTATTTAGTATCCAGAGGCCAGAATAAGACCTTAAAAATCCTTTGGAGAAATGGAAAATAACAGTGCGATGACTGTCAGGGAAGACAAATCTAGATCCATTCAGTTTTTCCATCAGCATCTTCTACACAAGGAGCAGAAGGCTCTTCTGTCTGTAGAACCCCTGATAGGGAATTTCGTTCTACCTATCAGGGTCCCTGCTACTTTTAGCCATTAAGACAAGTCCCCAAATTTATACTGAAGGAGTCTCATGAAGTATCCCCCACCCCCGACATTTTCTTTTCTTTTTTAAAAATTAGTTAATTTTAATTGGAAGATAATTACTTACAATATTGTGATAGTTTTTGCCATACATTGACATGAATCAGCCACGGGTGCAGGTGTGTCCCCCCAATCTGAACCCCCCTCCCACCTCCCTCCCCTCCCCTTCCCCCCTATTTTTTATGTGTAAGAAAATACAGAATGTTCCACTACATTTTGATACACATAGAAAAAAGTATTTCTTTGTCACTATGACTCTGGAGTAGTTCTTTTCTGGCATAAATAGGAGTCTTGTGTGTAAAGCAGATATTTATTTTTATCTTGTCGATTGGGTTCTCTTAAATATTCTACAATTCATTCTTAATGTCTTGCTTTTCTTTTATGTGTACCTATTTAAAGTCTTTGTCATATAAAATGGGTTGACCAAAAAATGTGTTCATTTTTTTCCTGCAGCATCTAATGGAAAACCCTGAATGAAATTTTTGGCCAAACCAATATTTCTTGATTTTGTGCCTTTAGAATAGTACTTAGTACCTTTACTGAGTAGTGACCATTTTCATTTTCTTTAGTGTGAAAAAAGATGAAAAACTAACCTTGTTTCCTTACAGATGGCAATGGAGGTCATGCAGTTTAGCAAGGAAGAAGTTCGGGAAGTGTTGAGGTTGCTTGCTGGTATATTGCATCTTGGGAACATAGAATTTATCACTGCTGGTGGGGCGCAAGTTTCCTTCAAAACGGGTAAGGTTGCTTCTCCCTCCTTCACTTCCTTGGTTTTTGCCTCATAAGAAATGTAGATCTAAAATATTTCCTGTCTGGCCTTTGAAAAAATACATTTTGAGCCCTAGAATATGAGCTACAGAAGTTTGATGTGAAAGGTCAGTTAATAAAGGGTCAAAGCAGCAAACAAGTGATTACTGCATGGAATGGTGGCTGTGTTCTCATTTTCTACTAAGAAAGAAGGAAAGTGGGCCCAATAAAAGGAAATAGGGGCAACAAGAATTTGATGTAGGAAGAATGTCATGAGTTGGATGTAGTGTTGTAGTTAATTCCTGGCTCCTGAGGGCTGCCATAGTGGAATGGTTAAGACCGTTAGTTTTCAAGCCAGGATGACTGGTTCGTAGCCCGGCTCTGCCACAAGCTGTTTCCTTGGGTTACTTATCCCTTCAACACTCGTGACTTCTCACTGTAAAGTGCACAGTGGAGATGTCTTAAGACTAAGTGAGTTAATATACGTGTAACAGTGTCAGTTGTCATTTTCCTGGAGTGATTTATTCTTTAAACTTTTCTGATGGATGCAGTGGATGAGGGCATGGAGGCTGGGAACTGGATGAGTATAAGTTCAAAGTGGCCCTCAAGTAACCCAGGGCTACAGGCCTGTAGTTCTTGTTCCCGTGGATCATTCCTGTTGATGTTTACTGCTTTCGAAATGAAAACAGAGTCAGTTAAAACTGGAGTGGGTAGCCATTCCCTTCTCCAGGGGCTCTTACTGACCCAGGAATCAAACCCAGGTCTCGGGCATTGCAGGCGAATTCTTTACCATCTGAGTCACCAGGAAAGCCCTTTAGAAATAATAGTGGAGACAGTTTAAAAAATAGCAAGAAATTCACTTTAAAATAACCGTAACCAACCCCTTGCATGTAGTAAAATAAGTAGTATTTTATTTGAAAGACCATCTTCCAAAACAAAAGAGAACAAGTCAATAATGACTGACATTGTCTAATGATTTTGTAAATGTTTAAAATATCTGGTGTGATGAAGGACAGCTGGCTTCTATTTCTGCCCTAAGCTTGTTGAGCTACTCATGTCATGTAGCCTCTGGAATATTCTTCTGTATACTTGTGAGGTAATGAAAGTGAAAAAGCAAATAACAGAGTTTATCACTAAAAAAAAAAAAAGCTAGTCTTATTGAAATAGTCATGGACCTTGCAAACCTCTGACAGGGTCTTGGGGAACCTGCCATGGGAGCCTCTGGACCATACTTGTTCCAAGTACCAGGTTGTTTGCTGTAAATCTAAGACTCATTAAGGGAGTGAATAACCTGCCAGTAGAACATGCGTCTTCTAGGTCCTGCCCGAGGGCCTTAGGAATATTCTCTGCTTAACTGTGTCGTGTGTGGCAGTGGCTTTGCACCCACTTGGGATCCCATGGGCTTTTCCTTCTTGGGGTTGTGCATCCACTTTCTCTTTGTCCTTCTTCTCCAGCCTTGGGCAGGTCTGCAGAGTTACTTGGGCTGGACCCGGCACAGCTCACGGACGCCTTGACCCAGAGGTCCATGTTCCTCCGGGGGGAGGAGATCCTTACGCCTCTCAATGTTCAGCAGGTATGTGTCTGACCCTCAAAGCAACTTCTAAAGATGCCCCTGGGTCTGCAGATCCACGGCTTTGATTTGAATAAGGAACTGCAGTGATCCATTCAAATGCTTTTGGCTCAGGGTCAAAAATAAGACATCCACGTTGAGGGGATAGGCACAGTGGTTCAGTGGTCATCTTAGAGACAGCATAGCAGAATCTTTAGGAGGAATGGGACTGGGGGAGATTTCCTGAGTCTGAGTCCTGCGTCTTCAGCTTATTATATTCTGTTCTTGGGGAATTTATTCACTGTGCCTTAGTTTCCTCTTCTGTAAGACAAGGACGAAAAGTAAAGTGTTAGTCGCTTAATCATGTCCAACTCCTTGTGAACCTATGGACTGTAGTCCACCAGGCTCCTCTGTGTATGGAATTCTCCAGGCAAGAATAGTGGAGTGGGTGGCCATTCCCTTCTCCAGAGGATCTCGCTACCCAGAGATCGAATCTGGGTGTCCCATATTGCGGGCAGATTCTTTACCTTTTGAGCCACCAGAGAAGACCCAAGACAAGGATTTGAAAGTAGTACCCATTCAGTCATGCCCGACTCTTTGTGACCCCAAAGACTGGGTCCCGCCAGGCTCCTCTGTCCATGGAATTCTCCAGACAGGTGTACTGGGCTGGGTTGCCATGTATAAGGACGATAGTAAAAAATAAATAAATGCTAAAAACTTAGTGGCATTGCTGACTCAGTGGACATGAGTTTGAGCAAGCTCCAGGAGTTGGTCATGGACAGGGAAGCCTGGCATGCTGCAGTCCATGTGATCACAGAGATTTGGACAGAACTGAGCTACTGAACTGGAAACTTGGTAACTCGTGCAGAGTAAGAGTTAAATAAACAGCTGTAATAATTACTACTACTAACTGGTGTTAGTTTTTATTATTATTAATAAATTATTATTATTATTAATGAGAGCAAAGCAACAGTATGTTGTATGATTTATTTTTGTCTCTGCAACTGCCTTGAGCCAGTTACACGCACTAGCCCATCTAATAGCTGTTTTCTTGATTGGATAAGTAAAAATGTTAACCATACCATGAAGAAAACTTGTATGCACACAAAGTAAAATATGAGAAGATGATAATGAGGGAAGTCAAGTCTTAATTAGCATTGTGTTGTTGTTGTTATTTAGTCACTAAGTCATTTCTGACTCTCCTGCAACTCCATGGACTGTAGTCCACCAGGCTCTTCTGTCCATAGGATTCTCTAGGCAAGAGCATTGGAGTGGGCTGCCATTTCCTTCTCCAGGGGATCTTCCCAACCCAGGGATCGAACCCGAGTCTCCTGCACTGGCAGGCAGATTTTTTACCACTGAGCCACCTGGAAAGTCCACTTAGTGGCATAAACCTGATCAAATTTGGAGCTGTATATTTTGGTCCGTATTCATTCTTATAACTCAATCCTTAAAGCTGAATTTGAAAGCCTGATGCTTCAAGGTGACTCTTGCTGCAAATAAGCAAGCTTCAGGTTTCCGTTTCTTTAGACATCTGTTTTCCTGGATGGTATTGGTTCACTTGACACAGGCTGCATAGATGTGGAGTGAGTGTGGCTCCCAAGTGCAGCACAGATGGATGTGCCCATCTGGGTTCCCTGCAGTCATTAGGGAAACCGCGTCTCTGTCTCGTCTCCCCTCAGGCAGCAGACAGCAGGGACTCCTTGGCCATGGCACTTTACGCACGCTGCTTCGAGTGGGTGATCAAGAAGATCAACAGCAGGATCAAAGGCAAAGATGACTTCAAGTCTATTGGCATCTTGGACATCTTTGGATTTGAAAACTTTGAGGTGTGCTTCCAACGAGTGGGATCCTCCTAAGCAGATCTCGTGAAACAAACAATGATATGTTTTCCCTGCAGATTTTTGTTGGCCTTTTCTTTACCTTTTTATGTAAGAGTGAGAGCGCTAAAGACTCTTGTTGGATTGTTTCCCCCCTTAGGTGAATCACTTTGAGCAGTTCAACATAAACTATGCAAACGAGAAACTTCAGGAATATTTCAACAAACATATCTTTTCTTTAGAACAACTGGAATATAGTAGGTAAGCACTCATTGTATTGCATTTCAAAATGTTTAAGAAAATGAGTCCCTACGTTGGATAGTTTTGAAGCGATATTTTACTACAACCTGGACCTTTTTAATCTTTGTACAGAGAAGGCTTAGTGTGGGAAGATATTGACTGGATAGACAATGGAGAATGCCTGGACTTGATTGAGAAGGTAACACACTGTTGAAGAATTGTTACAGTCCCAAGGGTGTCCAGCTGGGCTGATTCATATTTACGGGAACAAAAGAGCTTGTACGAACACGCACATGAAAGATGTGAATATTTAGAACACAATGGACCATTTGGAAGCATACATGTAACTGTGCAAGGTTGAATTTAAGGACTTGGCTGCTTCACGCCCATTGTCTCTTTGAAGTCAATATTTTAAGAATCAACAGTGAGCAGATTGGCTTCCCAGAGATTTTAAGTCAGCATCAAAAACTTTGCCATCCCAGTAGTGGATTGGCCAGTTGTAAACGTTTTGGTCACCAGATTACAGGGGGTTCAGGGTTTGCAGTATGGAATGCGTTTGGAGTTCTTTATAGCGTGTCATTCTGAATTTTTCGATCTGAGAAACTACGCACTTTTTACCACTTGATAGAGAGTAGAGAGGAAAGGATCTGTAAAAATACAGAGGCAAAAATTCAATGTTTAATTCATATTTGACCTGTTTTTCCCCCCTCTTCTAGAAACTTGGTCTCCTAGCCCTTATCAATGAAGAAAGCCATTTTCCTCAAGCCACTGATAGCACCTTATTGGAGAAGTTGCACAATCAGCACGCTGTATGTCCACACCTGCCAACTCCTCACTGTGTCTGGGTAGCTCATCTGTGGATTAAGATGGCGTAGGACAGGTTTCAGGGCTATTGGCCCCATGGTGCCTCTCACATTGAATTTTTTATTTTTCTCAAATGGAAGCTTTGCTCTACTAGAACTAAATAGAAATAAGCCAAAGGCATAGATCTGAGGCTACTTGTCAGAATATGCCCATGTTTACTTTGAGTATAAGATTTAACCTTTTTAACCTACTGTAATGACACAGACCAGAGTTGCATGATTTTAATGAAGTACATCACATGATGTGTCCTAAAGCTCTTATATGTCGTGGATTTTGAAATTGTTTTCACTGGCAGTTGTAGTTACACTGTCAGGAAATCAGTGAGTGAAATTAGGCATTTACATTTTTTTTTTTTATTAGAATAACCACTTTTACGTGAAGCCCAGAGTTGCAGTCAACAATTTTGGAGTGAAACACTATGCTGGAGAGGTAACTCCTTCTTGAATTTATATGATTGAAGCGTAATTGATTTACAGTGTTGTGTTAATTTCTTTTGCACAGTGAAGTGATGCAGTTGTGCGCACACACATATACATATATATATATTCTTTTTTCATTATGGTTTGTCCCAGGATTTTGAATGTAGTTCCATGTGCTATACAGTAGGACCCTGTTTATCCATTCAGTATATAACAGTTTTCCTCTGCTAATCCCAGACTTCCCTACCCCTCTCCCCCTTGGCACCCACAGGTCTGTACTCTGTGTCTGTGAGTCTGTTTCTGTTTCTTAGATAAGTTCATTTGTGTCATGTTTTGATTCCACGTAGAAGTGAGATCATGATATTTGTCTTTCTGATTCACTTAGTATGGTAATCTCTGGGTCCATCCACGTTGCCGCAAATGGCGTTTTGCTCTTTCTGTGACTGAGTAGTGTTCCGCTGTCTATATATGTACAGCATCTTTATCCATTCGTCTGTCGCTGGGCATTTAGGTTGTTCCCGTGTCTTGACTGTTGTAAATAGTGCTGCTATGAATGTAGGGGCGCCTGTGTCTTTTTGAATTAGAGTTTTGTCTGGATATATGCTCAGGAGTGGGATTACTTGACCATATGGCAACTCTGTTTTTCATCTTTTTGAGGAACCTCCACACTGTTTTTTCTATAGGGGCTGAACCAATCCTACCAACACTGTAGGAGGGTTCCCTTTTCCCCACACCCTTAGACAGGTAACTTCTTAATCAAGATCCCTGCTGATATTTGCCCATTTGGTATTTAGAGAATAGTAATTTCAGAAGCCGATCATAAATATATTGAATGACGGGTCCAGCTTTTAAAGGGGATGCTTATGACTTGAAATGATTCTTTTGATCAGTTCTTCCTTTTCTCGTTTGTTGCAAACCAGGTTCAGTATGACGTGCGGGGCATCTTGGAGAAGAACAGGGATACCTTCAGGGATGATCTTCTCAACCTTCTGAGAGAAAGCCGGTGCGTCGATCTCGTCCCTGCCATGTCAGATTGATGTTTGTGCAGATGTTTTTAATTCACAGACATAAAAAAATTAATATGGGAACAACTTGATGTAGTGTGTTCCTTCCTGGGCAATATTTGATCAATAAAGTGACCTGAGAGATATATAAATGGCCCTGGTGGTAGTGATTACCATTTAATGAGGTGGTATTGGAACAGCAAACCCCTAAGTTAGATACTTTTATTCATCCTGTTATGCTAGTGAGGAGATTAAGTGTGGCGTGGTTAAGTGACTTGCCCAGGATTCTTCAACTGGATTTGATCTGTTTTACTTGGTTCAAGAATCTAAGATTTTAACCAGCAAGACCTAATTTCTTCACAGCAAGCTTAGAGCTATGCATTAAATTGATGTCAGCCTCGGGTCTTGTAGGACCTTATGTCTCTAGTTAGTGTAAGAGTTATCAAGAGAAATAAACAAGTATTCAGCTAAAATTACCCATTCATTTATTCGTTCATGAATTATAAATTCACACCATTAAATCAGTAGTTAAGGAGAATATGCTGAAAAGTTTTGATGATGAATTCATTTGAACATATTAAACCAAGAGGCTTCCTGCTTTTAGGAGGCTTTGTGAGAGAGAGAGAGGGGAAAACAGCCCTTAAAGTCATCAATATGTGTCTTAGATCCAGTGTGAATCTCTGACACAAATTTTCAATATCTAAGGAAGGAAAGTAGCACCATCATTAAAAAGCTGTAATACTTTTAGAAATGAAATTCCCAGGTGGCCACCCTGTCGCTTACATAGCTGTGAACTGGGGTGAAGAGAACACATCTTAAGTGTCAGCTTAGAAGCCCAGGGGGGAAGTGGTTGGTCTTTCAATTTGCCTTAACCCTCCTCTGTGAAGATTCCCTAATTACAACCTTGTCGACTATTTTTATTTTTAGGTGTGTTCTCAGACCTGTAAAAATGGCAGTGTTTGAACCATAGCAGATTACCTCTCTCTCAAAGCAGATTTAAATCGATCCATTTAAGTAAAAGTGGGGTCTTGAGGTTAAATGGAACATTTGGTTATGAGAAGGGCCGAGGCCTGGAGGCCAGCAAGATGGCCTTCCACTGGTTGCCGCTATCATAATGTTAAGTGGAATTGGAGGCAAGAGCATTGTTTCAGCCCAGGTTTCTCTCTGCTGATGGAGGGGCTTGGTGTCTTTGCCTCTCTGCTCTCTTTTGCCTTTGGCCTCTGTGACATTTTGCAGTCCATCTCTTCAGTCACGTCCAACTCTTTGCGACCCCATGGACTGTAGCCCACCAGGCTCCTCTGTCCATGAGATTTCCCAGGCAAGAATACTGAACTGGGTTGCTATTTCTTCATCCAGTGGGACATTTTAATGGAACACAAAGGTTTTTTCCAAAGCGCTCAAAGTACAGAGAACTTCAAAGAGCGAGAATGAAATATCACCCTAGGATAAAAGTGAGAAAGAGTTGAACAGAATGAGAAGTGATGAGGGAAGCACTGGCATTATCCCCTTGAGGGGTGTGAAAGCCAGACTGTTTCTCTCCTGGTTCTTAGCAAAGCCATTGCTCCCTACACCCCTGACCCCTGGTTTTTATAGCCCATAACATCTTCCATTCAAGGAAGATCAAAAAGGCCCTGAGGATTTTCCCTAGTGGCACAGTGGATAAGAATCCACCTGCCAGTGCTAGAGACATGGATTCCATCCCTGGTCCGGAAAGATTCCACCTGCCTTGGAGCAGTTGAGCCCTGCTCTAGAGCCCTCGAGCCACAGCTACTGAAGCTTGCATGCTCTAGAGCCAACAAACCGCAACTACTGAGCTTGAGTGATGCAACCACTGAAGCCCATGTGCCCCAGAGCCTGTGGTCCACAAGAGGACGCACCACAGTGAGGATCCCACACAGTAGAGAAAAGACCTCACGGCAACGAAGGCCTAGTGCAGCCAAAAAAAAAAAAATAGCTCCTGAGAAGTCTTTTACTTTGTTAGTAGTGGCCATAGATTTTCTAGAACTTTTTAACAATAATAACAGTGATCATCAACATTTATGATGAGCCAGGCGTCATGCTCAACCTTTTGCCTCCATTTCCTCGTTTCATCCTTACCCCAGCTTCCTAGGATACATCCTAAAATAACTCCCATTTCCAGATGAGAAAACAGGCATAGAGAGAGACCAGCATCATGTCCGAGTCACACAACTAGGAAGAGGGGACGGCAGGACTGAACCCAAGTCGGCCTCACTCCAGCCTAGTGCCCTTCCACCTGCTAACTGGCTGCATCTTTGCCACGCTGAGTTGCACAAGACAAACGCTTGCCTTCCACTGGGCTGCAAAGCTCCACTCCAGAGTGGCTGGTCACCTGGGTTATTTTCACCCATCCTCTTCTCCCTGGCAAGACTCCAGCGCTCCGAAGCATCCACATCTGCTTTCAGTGCCTAAAGCTCTTGGGCGGTGGTGGGTGTGAAATCTTGGAACACTTTCTTAGCTCTTGCAGGCCTTGGTGTGTTATTTTCAGGAACATGCATTATAATTACAGTGATTGAGCACCTAATAATTGGGTGTGCACCCCTCATGGCCCTCCTGCTCTCTGCTCACACAGATTCGACTTCATCTACGACCTCTTCGAACACATTTCCAGCCGCAATAACCAGGATACCTTGAAATGCGGAAGCAAACACCGGCGGCCCACAGTCAGCTCGCAGTTCAAGGTTAGTCTCTGCTGCTGGCCTGGATGGAGCCATCTTTATTGTGACTTTAAGAACTGAAAATCAGAATGAGTATCTATGAGATCTCTGAAAGGGTTTACTTGTTTTCTATCATCCTTTTAAGGTTTACTTGTTTTCTATCATCCTTTTAAAACGGTACTTTTGGAAGAAAAATATATTTTTGTTCCCTGAGCCAGACCAAAAGAAAAAAGTTTCTTTTGTCTTATTAAAGATAAATAACTATTTAGTCTAAGTTTATGAAATAGTCATTCTTTTTAAGGACTGTTTGGTTATTTGGGATTGCTCTGATTTGTATTTAAAGGCTCAGATGCATATAAAGTATATTTCTTCCTGTGTCTGGATTTTTAAAAAATCTTCCTCAGTAGATTTACAGTATCATAACTAGGAAGAGTAACCAAGGGCATGGTTAAATAAGATCAGTGTCAGTTACCTTGTCCAGATGTCCAGAATTCCGGGACAATAAGGAACGTTCTTTTGGCATCATAAATATGTAAGCCTTTTAGAGAGTTTAGAGGCAGAGCATAAGAAGACCATTTCTTTAATTGAATTGACCTGTTTTACCCCCAAATCCTTACATGAGGGGGAATGGAGGCACATCAGTCATCAGACCTTTATTAAATTTGCCCTCTAGGAGGCTCTCTTTCATGTAGCTACTCAGTTGGATGCCGTGGGGTTGGGGGGGGTGCTGTGTGAGGTTTGTTTTTCAATGTGTTTGGGGATCAGTTCGACCCACAGTCCCATTGCTGACAGTCCTGGCAGGTGTGAGCCTGATAGGATGTAATTTAATAATAGCTTAATAATCACAGCTGCCATTTATTATATACTCTTATATAAAAGTTACAGTCATGGGAGCTAATCCCTTTATATATACTGTCTTGTTCACAGTATGTATTATTGTCCCCATTTTACAGATGAAGAGGCTGAGGTTTAGAGAAATGGAGGCTTGCTCAGTCCCTCTGAGGACTGAAGCTAGGATCTGAATGGAACTTGAGTCTATCTGACTCTAAACCCTAGGCTCTTATTCTTCTAGTGGGGTCGTTATGTCATCTTTTTCTAAGTCAGTGTTGCCTGGAGTTGCCTTGGAAGACTTTGCAGATGTTGGGGACTTAAATTGGACTAGGAATCAGGCAATGGAAGAGAATGGGCAGAGCTTCTAGGTAAAGACAAAGGCAGGAGGCAGGGTCCCATGTCAGGAAGGAGTCTTGTTTCCAGAGGACTGGACTCCTTGTATAATGATAAATGGGTACCAGAGTTTGAGGGGCCATGAATTCCAGGACATTCCGTCGTCTGTGAGAAATCCTAAGGCTTTCTGAGCACAGAAGTAACTAGTCAATGTAGCGGACAACCCAGCTTATTCAACAGCAAAATTATAAGAAGAAAGAAACAAGACTATTTTAAATAGAGACTGAGGGAACACCAGCGGCTTAAAATAGACTGAAGAGACATATCAGCCAACTGCACTACATGGACCTAATTATTTGCATTCTAATTTCAAAGGATAAACCATTTAAACATTATGACATTTGAGACAGTTGAGTATTTAAAAATGAATCTTGAACTCGTACCTTTTCATCTTGATAGTGAGGAATTTGTGTTAATTCTTTTCAGGAATGATATTGTGGTTACCTCTGTATGTTTTAAAGTATTTAACCTTTGGTAATACATACTGAAGTATTAAAAGATGAAATAGCACAATGTCTGGGGTTTGCTTTTCTGCTACAAGTGGATGTGGTGTGTACAGGGCAGGGATCAGATGAGATGAGATTAGCCAGGAGTTGAAGCTGATGACGGGCCCTCCTTACATGCTCTGTCTGCTTTGGTAAATGTTAAAAATTCTTCACAATTAAAAAAAAAATGTAAAAGACAGCAGTATTACAAGAGAATGATATGCCTGGTGAAGAAAGATCGTGCTTCAAAGACCAGGGAGATACTTGTGGAAGCTGTCATTTCAATGAAAATAGTTAATTAGGAGGAACAACTCCAAAGGAGAGTTGCTACTTCTCAGGTTTTCCGTATAAACATTGAAATACCCCAGAGTATTTTTTATTTATTTATTTATTTTTGCTGGTTAACAGAATAATATTTTTTAATGGTACTATATCAAAGAAGTAATAAATGTTTGCATATGTGGAATAATTTCTATGATAATTATAATATTTCTATGATAATTTTATTAGAATGCCATGATTAAACATCAAAGGGGCTTCCCTGGTGGCTGAGATGGTAAAGTATCTCCCTGCAATGCAGGAAACCCAGGTTTGATCCCTGGGTCAATAAGATCTCCTGGAGATAGGGACTGGCTTCCCCACTCCAGTGTATATCAAAGAAGGAACAAATGAGTTTTGCATATGTGAAATAGTTTCTATGACAACGTTAATACTTTTATTAGAGTGACATGATTAAAAATAAAATCACTATTCCTCAGGTTTGTTTTCTTCTTGTTGTTTCTGATGAGCGCCTAGGGCGCTGAGAAGTTTAAAGACATAAAAAGAGGCTAAATCAACATACACATGTTTTTCTTCCTCGTAGGACTCCCTGCACTCCTTGATGGCAGCTCTCAGTGCCTCTAATCCTTTCTTTGTTCGCTGTATCAAGCCGAACATGCAGAAGGTAAGACTTAGGACAGTTGTCCCCTGAGACTGTCTTATTTAAGGCCACTGCTTTCTGGCATGGCTGCTTGCTGATTTGGTTTCTCCAGAGTTCTTTCATTATAGATGGTTGGAAATGGATATGACATTATTATAACATTCAGTGGGAAAAAAAATCCCTTTGTCTTTTGGACCTATTTGCTTTTGAATGATGCCATTACACTTTAGAGAAACCTAATTTAAAAGGAAACATTGTGAAACCTTCGCATTTTTTTCTTTAGCATTCGCTTTCAGATTCTTGGGCAAGCTCCAGGATGTGGTATATACCTTTTGGAAGAAATGATTGGTGTGTTTTTTGTTTCGGCAGATTTCTTTTTCATTTTTTTTTTTCTTTTGCTTTATTGTTAAACATGACAAAGACTCTGTATTCTACATAGTAAATAATGGATTTCAGGGACTTTAGTTAGTTGTAACTAATTAGAGGACTCCTGTCATCAAAGTTTTAGTGTCCAGGCTCTCGGTTTTAGCTTTTTAATGCCATGTCCTATTCAGAAACAGTGTGAGTTTTATACAGAGAATCTATCTGAAGAAAGAAAATTTGTTGCTGTTTGGTCCCTAAGTTGTGCCCGACTCTAGGACCCCATGGACTGCAGCACTCCAGGTTCCCCTGTCCTTCATTGTCTCCGGAATTTGCTCAAATTCATGTCCACTGAGTCGGTGATGCTATCTAACCATCTCATCCTCTGCCACCCCCATCTCCTTTTGTCTTCAATTAAGAAAATTTAGTGTTAGGTGAAAACAGCTGCTCTTTCTAAGGCTAAATGGGTAACTTGCCTTCGAGTGCTGTTAAAGAATTGACATGATCTTGATTTGGCAAACATCTGCTCTTAGTTAGCCCTGTGAAGAAAGGAAATCCTCCAAGAAAATAATAATGTCAAGGCCCCTCATGGGCAAGAACTGGATGCCATCCTCATAAGGACTCAGATAAGGAATCTGAGCTCGACTGTTTCCCACGAGACTTGCTTTATGCGCCGTAATGCTGCTGTCCGTAACTTTGCTCGTGCGGATCTTTTATCTTGTTTTCCAGTTATCTTGACTTAATACTACAGTGTTTCTCCCTTAGACTTTAAGGTGTTTTTTTTTAAGCACCACAGTTCTGAATTCTGTCTTCTAGGAAGCCAAAACTCAACAAGGGGAGATTATAATCTGTTCGGTTTGTTACTCTGAGGTGTGATGGGGAGAATTTGTCATTTGTGTGGCCTAAAGTGACTGAGACTGTGGTTCTGTAGACCTGTGATGACTTACGGTCCGTCAGGTCTGGCAGTTGAAATAGTAGCTCATCTTTTCATTTTTCAAATTTTTAATAAAATGGTTTAGGTTATCACAAAATAACAGCAGCTTAACAATACATAGGTGTTTTTTTTTGGACAGAATGTTGAAAGTTAATAGCTAAAACATAGCTGTGTTGCATGAAGGACCTTTTGTATAGCCCAGAATATTGCTGCTCAATATTCTGTAATAACCCAAATGGGAAAAGAATTTGAGAAAGAGTAGATACATGTCTAACTGACTCACTTTGCTCTGCATCTGAACCTAATGCAGCATTGTTAATCAACTATGCTCAACATAAAAGTCACACCTAATCATGTCCCGTGTCAGCTGATTTATATCCCCTTGCTGGGCTTTATAAAATAGCTTCCCTTGTGGCTCAGCTGGTAAAGAATCTGCCTGCAATGTGGGAGACCTGGTTTCAATCCCTGGGTTGGGAAGATCCCCTGGAGAAGGGAAAGGCTACCCACTCCAGTATTCTGGCCTGGAGAACTCCATGGTCTGTATAGTCCATGGGGTCACAAAGAGTCAGACACGACTGAGCGACTTTCACTTTGACACTTTCTAAAACCCTAATGGGCAGTAGCTAGACGATGGATAGAAGGGCTTTGCATTTGGGTCTGTACTCACAGGAACTGTTAACCTCTGCCAGTGTTTCTTTCCTCTTTTTACAGCAAGGATAACAATAATACCATAGTTTGGTTTTTTATATGTCTTTTAAAAAATAGTTGTTTGGCTGCTGTTTGTCTTAGTTGCAACTCACAGGGTATTCACTGAGGCATGCAGACTCTTAGTTACGGCACGTGTGCAGGGGTCCAGTTCCCCCAACCAGGGACTGAACCCAGGCCCCCTGCTCTGGGAGAACAGAGTCTTACCACTGGACCACCAGGGAAGTCCCAATAATACCATAATTTGAACATGCATCTTTGTCCCAAATTTAAGGCCATGGCTATTGAGATACAATGTACAGCTTTTTTGGCAAACCAAAAAAATAGTTTAATTGGGAACTTTTTCTCTCTTCTTAGTGATGTAGTAATTGTGTAGTTTTACAGCCGTTGGCATCTTAGGTTCACTAAAATGAGGGAGCCGGCCTTATTTATAAGGATAGAAATTTTAAAAACCTGGTCCTCTGTGGTTTTGTTGTCCTTGGATGGCATTGAGTTAGTTTTTTTTTTCTTTAAGTTGTAATCACTTTTGAAATTAGGCCTGCTTGAACACACTTCATTCAGAATGTTGAAGCAACTGCCTCTTTTTGATGTTTATTTTTCCTTACTGGGATTTGGTTGTGTCTAATTGCTTTAGTGTTTGCATTAAAAAAATTTAAAAAATGAGCCAATCCAGCTTCTGGTTCTGTTTCTCTTGGCTCACAGCCCATCCCACCTCCTGACTGATGGCAGGCACTAGTTAATAACCCACCAGGAGATGGACTGTCAAAGACTTTGAAAACACATCTCAGTACCATTTTAAAGGCACCCAGCGAGTCAGACAGGAGAACTGACTTGTTTGAGATCTAAGATGTAGGTGTGATACCAAGTGTGAAGGGGCTAATTAGACTGTGGGAATGGTAAATTATGACTTGCTTAGCATTTGTTTGGCCCCATTGGAAATATTGGAGTGTTCCTGGTGATGATATAGGAAATGTATGTAAGCAACTCTCATTTGTAGTTTCTTATGACTTTTGTCCAAAGATGAATGCTTCCAGAAATGTCACAGGGAAAATCTTGCTTGTCTTTGCCCAGACGTCGGGAGTGTGTATTTCCAGGCTTCATCTCATACCTTTTTCAAGTTAGACATCCATCAGGAGGCCTTGAGAGGATGTATTATTTTTGGCCATATCACGTGGCATGAGGGATCTTTGTTCCCTGACCGGGGGTGGCACCTGTGCCCCCTGCAGTGGAAGCGTGGAGCCTTAACCACTGGACAACCAGAGAAGTCCTGGGGATGCATTTGAATGTATGTATGTGGAGGTGTTTTGTACATCATTCAGAAACATAGATCATGGGTTTTAGCAGCTTCTAGAGATTCCTTTTGGCAATTCTGTGACCCCAAAGGGGACGAGAACAATGGCTGTAAAGTCTGTGGCCTCAGGAAAAGTGGGGGAGCTGCCTGGTGCTCTTAGGGACCTGTGTAACACATCCGAGGCTCCCGTGGTGGCCTGGCGAGTGTGCACGCCCGGCTCGTGCACCCTAGGCCTGTGTTACAGGCTGCATCCTCTCCTTGGCAAGAGTGTGACACTCAGGATGGAGACTTGGCCTGAAGCATCTAGAAATCCTCTTTTGGGAATATTATGGGTTTTCATTATTGGGGATTTTTATGTTTTGCTTTGAAAAACTGGTGTAAAAAAGTCCTGTGTGTCTGTGCTCAGTCGTGTCCACCTCCTTGCAACTCCATGGATTGTAGCCCAGGCTTCTCTGTCCATGGGATTTCCCAGGCAAGAATGCTGGAGTGGGTCGTATTTCCTCCTCCAGGGGATCTTCCCGACCCAGGGATCGAACCTGCGTCACCTAAGTTGCAAGCAGATTCTTTACCACTGAGCCACCTGGGAAGCCCACGCGTTTTGCTTTGAAAAGCTGGTGTAAGCGGGAAGAATATAACTGACATGCTGAAGCAGTTCTGTCAGTTCAGCTATAATAGTCTGTGGGCTTTTTTTTATGAACGATTTGGAGCTAACCTTGGGTATTGTATAGAAGGCACTTCACTAGCATCTCTGGGAAGTCCTCTTGGCACTAAGTTATGAAGAAAATAAAGGCACCTCTTGGTAGGGGGCTGGTCTGCAGCCAGTTCTTTGCCTCAGAAGACACTGGGGAGGGCCGTCCTCCTGTCAGCTTAGAATCTTCAGTTAATGGAGGGCAGGCTTCTCCATCAGACGGTTTTCAATTGGTGATGTGACCGTGTAGCTTTTTCCTATTGTGATTTGCTTGTTGTCCAGTTGCTCAGTCATGTCCGACTCTTTGCGACCCCATGGACTGCAGTTCACCAGGCCTCCCTGTCCGTCACCAACTCCCAGAGCTTACTCAAACTCCATCGAGTCAGTGATGCCATCCAACCATCTCACCCTCCATTGTCCCCTTCTCCTGCCCTCAATCTTTCCCAGCATCAGGGTCTTTTCAGATGAGTCAGTTCTTCGCTTGAGGTGGCTAAAGTACTGGAGTTTGAGCTTCAGCATCAGTCCTTCCAATGAACACCCAGGACTGATCTCCTTCAGGATGGACTGGTTGGATCTCCTTGCAGTCCAAGGGACTCTCAAGAGTCTTCTCCAACACCACAGCTCAAAAGCATCAATACTTCAGTGCTCAGCTTTCTTTATGGTCCAACTCTCACATCCATACCTGACCACTGGAAAAACCTTGGCTTTGACTAGATGGACCTTTGTGATTTGCTTAGGCAGTAGTAGTTTCTGGCCAGATGTGTCCAGACCAGCCCCAGCAGATATCGGTACCAGAGAAAGCATGCTTTGCCTCCTCAGAATTTCCCCCCAAGGGTGCCCTGTGTTCTGTGATCTCTGCCTTCTCTCCTTGCCTGTTGTTTCAGCAAGTAACTTTTAGTCAGAAAAGTCCGTTATTAACATTCCTCAGTTCAGAATTAAAGAAGGAAACAGACGGATAAATATCAGGAGAGCCTTCCCTGGTGTGAGAACTGGCTCTCTGCACTTCCCAGCCCCGAGTGCAAGCCCCACTTGCTACAGGAGCGGCA